GAGACTCCTTTGAGAGCCTTTATTAAAAAGATAGTCCAAACAACATACAAAGCAGAGTGGACATGGTTAAGAAAAAGAAATGATGAGGAACACCAAGCAAGGATTCAAAAACAAAATTAGAAGGCATTTAAAGGTATTCTTAAAGGCTGCCGTATGCAATATCAGAACCCAGAAGTAAATCACCTGAGGCTATTCAAAATCAAATATATTGAAAACCTCCTCCTAACTGCTGAAGTCTTAAACCGCAGAAAACCGCAGCTATATAAAAGTAGCTCATATAAGAGATGTAGCAAGGAAAAAGAAATGATCGAACACATAATCACGTACGAAAAAACATATATCGTATATAAAAAATTGAGGAAGAAATATGGAAAAGGTTCAGCGAAGACAAAAGGAAAGAGGAAGATTGGGATTTGATAAGTATCCAACAGGCCTTACAGTATGAACAGGAAGAAAAGCATCAAAGAAAGAAAGAATGAATACATGGCATACTCAGTGAAGATAATGCGGAAAAAATCAAGAATATCGTAGGTTCTGAAGGAATGGTAACCAAATTTTGGAGCCTCTACTGGCATATCTGAATAGAACTCATATATGTAGAAATATAGAAACCCGATGCAAAAATATAGAGGCATAGGAGAAAAATGAAAAAATCTTAAAAAAAGAAAAATACTTACAGAAAAAAAGAGAGAAGAACGATCCAAAAAAAGCATCTGCTAGGGAAAAAACAAATAACAGAGTAGATGAGAATATAGAAGTCAGTAATGTTGGTCTAAAAATAGCGTTAAATAGTATAGTTAGGGAAGTAAAGAAGGGAATAATAGATAGCTGGAATTAAAAATAGTCATAATAGGCTGTGGCATCCTTCCTATCTTGACTTACAATTTATATTATAAATTGTTTCAATATAGGACAAAGGTCACTATAGCAGATCACACATAGGTATCCATAGGATAACCGAGTGAGTCATAGCTTAAAAAATTAGTCATTAGATAGTACATCACTAAATAATGTTGTTTTTAAATGAAAAACAAATCTAAATAAAGTTATGGCATGACTGCTGAATTAAAAAAAAAATTTAAAAAAAAATCAATTCAATTTGTCTAGTTCGATGAAACTTATATATTATAAAATATAAATATTGAATTTACTAATTATATTAAAAAAAAAATTATTTAATAAAAAAAATATTTACTTATACATATTAAATAAATTTTGATTTTTTAGATGTTTTATTATAAAATTAATCATCGAGCGTGGCTACTGTACCTTTACATATAGATCTACATATTGCATAAATTCTGTTCTCGATATCTATATATAAATAAAACTATTAACTGCATCAAAAAAACTAACCCTAAGGTACAATGCTTTAGCCATCCCCCAAATTTGGAAATAATCATCACAGAATCTAAATCTTATTGGTTGTTTTGTTGTGCCGATAAACGATAAGTCACGTGAATGTTGTGTCCGTAGCTTTCCCCTTTTTATGTGTGCGACGATCATAACGGTAAGCATGAAAATAAAATTTTCTACGAAGAGGTCGTAAATTCTCAATGTTCATCAGTCACCGGGTAGCCCTTCCCCCAAATTATCCTTATACGCCAATATCCCAGCATGCTTATCTCATGGAGCCCGCTAAAGAATATCAATTTGAGCTCGACCCATTTCAAAAAGTGGCAATCGCGTCGATTGAAAGATCTGAATCAGTTTTGGTTAGTGCTCATACTTCAGCTGGTAAGACAGTTGTAGCTGAATACGCGATTGCTCTAGCATTGAAAAATAAACAGAGAGTAATCTATACAAGTCCGATAAAGGTAGGTATCCTGAAGATATAGTAAGTGATTATTCAATATTCAATTTAAACATACCTCCTTCTCATTAGGCTTTAAGTAATCAAAAGTATAGAGAATTAGAATCAGCCTTTAATGATGTGGGATTATTAACAGGAGATGTAACGATCAATCCAAACGCGAGCTGTTTAGTGATGACAACGGAGGTTTGTAGATGGGTAACTCTAAAAACTTTTGAACAAGGGATACATATCAAACTATATCAAAAATTCCTAGATTTTACTTGCGATGCTTTACCGCGGTAATGATGTTATTATGCGAGAAGTCTCATGGGTTGTTTTTGATGAGATTCATTATATGCGGGATAAAGGTATCCATAAATTTAAATAAATAGATTTATTGTAAAATTTTGATCTCAATGTATTTTTAACATTTATTTACAAACCAGTAAGAGGTGTAGTTTGGGAAGAAGTAATAATATTATTACCCCAACAAGTACATATTGTTTTTTTATCTGCAACCATTCCCAATGCAATGGAATTTGCTGAATGGATATGCAAAATACATTCTCAGGTTGACATAAATCGTTCATATATTATAAAAGAATGTAATTTTCTATGATATTGATTCATTTTCCATCATATTTTTTTGTAGCCGTGCCACGTCGTATATACAGATTTCCGTCCTACACCACTACAACACTATATATACCCTTGTGGAGGTGATGGTATTTTTATGGTGGTTGACGAAAATGGTGTCTTCAAAGAAGATAATTTTTTACAAGCGACTCAATCATTATTATCTGATCAAGATTTTGAATACAAATCTTTTAAGGATAAAAAGACTGCCGTAATTGATAGGAGCAAAGGTATAAAAGGTTATTTAAATATATAAATTTTTGTAAAATTTTTACTTATTTAATTATTATTTGGATTCGGTAATTCCAGGACCCTCAGATATTATTAAAATTATAAATATGATTATGCAAAGAAATTATCAACCTGTAATAATTTTTTCTTTTGGAAAAAGCCTATGCGAAACTTATGCAATGCAAATAAAGCAATTTGATTTTAATAATGGCAAGTTGAATCTGCGGGATTGATCAATATTTACGTTAATAATGTTATTGAATTAGAATTGTCTTGACAATTATTACAGATGAAGAAAAAAGATTGGTAAAAACTGTATTTGATAACGCAATTGATGTGCTCGATGTGGAAGATCGGCAATTGCCACAAATAAAATTTCTATATCCCTATTTATTACGTGGCATTGCCGTTCATCATTCAGGGTTATTACCTCTTTTAAAAGAAATAGTCGAGCTGTTATTTCAAGAAGGTTTAATAAAAGTCCTATTTGCTACTGAGACTTTTGCCATGGGACTCAACATGCCAGCTAGAACTGTAGTTTTTACAGATGTGAAAAAATTTGATGGTGAACTTGTTAGATATGTATGTGATTTGCTTAGCTTGTCATTTTAATAAATGGCGCAAATAACTTAATAAATTATTCTCTTCGCTTAGATAACGTCTGGTGAATATATTCAAATGTCAGGTCGTGCGGGTCGAAGAGGCATTGATACCAGGGGAATCGTGATTTTAATGGCAAGGGAAAAAATGGCACCCAATGCTCTTAAGGAAATGATTATGGTAGTCATCTCATTATTTTGTTTTCAATAAATGCGCGTTGTATAATTTCAACATTTAATTACTTTATATAGGGTGAATCAGATAACTTGATTTCGGCTTTTCATTTAAAATATAACATGATTTTGAATATGATGAGGGTTGAAGGAATTAGTCCAGAATTTCTTTTGAAAAATAGTTTTTATCAGTTTCAAAATACTGCTACCTTACCAGCACTTGAAGAAGGTCTACTTTTGTTGTGATTATTCATAATTTTGATATTATGGTGATCCTAATGTTTATGTCTATTTATTTAGACCTTCATAAAGCAGAATTGGAATATTCTAATTTCATAATACCTGACGAAGACGTCATTGCCGAGTATTATGATACACGTGGATTATTGGATACTTATGCTCACGAAATGAGACAAATAATAAACCATCCTTCTAACTGTTCTCAATTCCTTAAACCAGGCAGATTGGTGCGAGTAAAACATGCCGATATGGATTTCGGGTGGGGGATGGTAGTTGCCTATGGGAAAAGAGTGGTAAGCTAATTGTTTCGTATATTATTATAGTTAATTTTGGTAATTTTTCTATTTAATTTGAATTACATGTTGTTAGGATCAAAAGTATCCCGCGGATTCAACTTTTGAACAAACACAGCAAGAAGCCAGTAATAATCAAGACAACCAGATATTTTCTGCTGATAATTACTTTGTTGACGTATTATTATATTGTGATCGAGATTCTATTGTTGCTAAGGCAGCTGATGGAACAACTACTGGTGTAAAACCTTGCAAAGAAAATGAACCTGGCGAAATGATGGTAGAATACTTGCAATGTAATGTATTTTGTTTTAGTAGCATTTATACTCATTTGATTTGAAATTTAGGTTGTTCCTGTTGAATTATCTAGTTTGTATTGCATAAGTCAAACCCGTATTTTTCCACCCAAAATTCTGGCACTTAAACAAATTAGGCGAAGTGTCTATGATAGCATTCAAGTAATAATTAAATGTTATCCTGGCGGATTAGTCCCACTAGATCCTATTGAAGACATGGGTATTGAAGATGAAAATTTCCAAAAGTTGATAAGGGTATGTTTCTTGCATATATTTCTCACACATGTGTTTTCAATTATAATTTTTCTACGGATTACTAGAAAATTGAAGTTCTTGAAGATAAGCTTTTCTCCAATAAACTTCATGATACCCCACAACTTCCGCCATTATATGAGCAATACGCCAAAAAAGTTGCACTTCGTACTAGAATAAGATCCTTAAAAAAGAAAGTCAACAATGTTCAGTCTATCTTACATCTAGATGATCTTAAGCACCGTAAACGAGTTCTACGTCGAATAGGATATTTAACAGATGATGATATAGTTACAGTTAAGGGTCGTGTCGCCTGTGATATCAACGTTGGTGACGAAATTGTTCTCACTGAGATGTTATTAAATGGAGGTTTTAGTGATTTGTCAGTTGAAATGATAGCGGCTCTACTTAGTTGTTTTGTAATAGAACAGCATGACAAAGAAAAGGCAAATTTAAAAGAGGACTTTTACGTTGTTTATCGTAGACTACAGGATATTGCACGTAACATCGTAGCTATATCAATAGAGTGTAAACTTCAAATTAATGAAGAGGAATACCTAGCCAATTTTTGCCCAGATATGATGGAACTAGTGCATAGCTGGTGTCAAGTATGTTGTGGTGACATTATTAAAAATAGTTTGCAATTATCGATTTAAAATTCACATTAATTTATAATCCTGTTAACAAATAGGGCAAATCATTTGCAGAAATTATGAAATTTGCTCCCAAATATTACGATGGCCATGTTATTAGAGTATTTCGATGCTTGGATGAAGTTTTACGAACAATGGTAATTGCAGCTAAAAATATTGGAAATTCTGAGCTAGAAATGAAATTTCAGACAGCCATAAGTAAACTAAGACGAGGTATACCATTTGCTGCATCTTTATATATTCAATGAATAGTTGATTTTAGTTTAGTTTAAAATATTTGATTTTAATCTTTATTACGAGCCTGAACGAAAACCTATTCTCCATTTCTGAATAGACTTCTGTAGTAACAATTACTATAAAAAAAAAAAAAATTAATAAAAAAACAAATACAATTTATATAATAAAGATCATTCTACAGTGTAAGAAAATTTTTTATTAAATAGCTTATAGCGGTAAATTGTCGAATTAACTAATATTTAATGCATAAGTTATAGCCGACCTTCGATAAGTGCATTCCGAATTACTCAAATTAGACAATAAATTAAAGTTTATTTTTTTAAGATAACAGATAGAGCCTATAACCTAATATCTTTCAAATCATTTCATTTACATTAATTTAGTAGATGAGTAAAAGATTATTTATTAATCGGTGGAATTAAAATTAAGCAAACCATCCAACCATTCGGGGTTAAAAAAAAAAAAAAAAATGCAAACCACGAACAAAATACTCACTATTGCCTAATACTCTTCAAATACTAAAGTGATCTATTAATTTACTATTCTACTATAACGCAACCTTAACAGCAAATCATTAGCCTGCTAGACAATTGTTTTAATTAGCCTATAATGTTTTATCTGAGTCAGATTACTATTTTCTAATTAAGTTCATAGTTCTAATAACAAATAAGATTTGATTTTTATAAATTTTTTAGATTTAAAATTTTATTTTATAGTAGAGTTATTAATGTTACGCAATTTCTATTTGAATATAAGGTGTTTATATACTAAATAATACCAAAGTATTAGAAAAACTAATCAAAATTCAAAATCAAGTATAACATACAAATATTTTTTTTTGTAATCAAAAAATTTTTTAAAAATATGAATATTCGATATTTGAAAATTTCATTTATAAAACTGCTTTTGAGACTTTAAGTAAAAAAATTCTTTGCTAAATTCTATATATAAATCTTGTTTTAACTCTAATTTTAGGTTTTGCCTTAATACTAAAGTTAATTAAATTTTTTTTTTTTTATAAAAAATTATTTAAAAATTAAAATTTATGTTTTAAATACTAAGTATCAAATTAGGTTTATTTATTTATTTTTTTTATTTGTTCAACAAGGTTTTATGCTGATTAATTTTTATTAAGTTATTTGTAGGTTTATATTAGTTAGTGAGAGTATATTTGGTCATATATATAACTTTAATCATTGTCTATTTAAAGGTTTTGCTCTAAGGTTACTTATCGAATACTATACTTAGTATCTATTTGTAGATACTCTATTTAAACTTTCTAGTAAATGATATTAAAACTTCATAAAGCAGAAACTTAGAGTATCATATAGTTATGATTATAGAAATTTGCTAAGATAAATTTCTAAAGCTCTTAATAATATTCTAATATTGATTATTCATAAGTTTGCTTGAAAATTGTAGAGGTATATAGATGCTTATTACAAAGATTAGAGAGTAGAGTAGCTGAATAAGTTATTAATAAGTTTAAATTATATTATTACTTATCTAAAAATATAGAAAAAATAATAAATCAGCTATAAATTAAAATAAAATAGTATATTGCTTCTTGTCTATTTTTTTTTTACTATATTTTTATTCTGTTAAATAGTTGTTAATTAGTTGAATTAGATTAGATCAATTCTCTCTATTAAATTACTTGTTTCAGATTTGTTTAGAGTTATTTCATATTTTTTTTTAAAATTTCTAGTACTATGATATATGTAGTAAATTCTATAAACTCAAATCTTTTCACATTTAATACTCTATTAGTTGTTACCAAAAGTCTTAAATCTACAATATAAGCACTATATAAATTGTCTTATAAAATATTACTACTATATAAGTCTTAATAAATAAATCTTTGAAAATGAATTATTTGATCAAAATTAATTTTATAAAAATATTTTTTAACTTATTTTAATATATGTTAGCTCAACTTGAAGTAGTTCTAAAGTATATTACTTTATTAACAATTTTACTAATTTATATATTTAAGATACATCATACAAACTAAATCTAATTAAAAATATAAATAAAACTGTTTTACTAATTATGATTTTATTACAAAAAAAGAATAAAAAAAATTATATTTAGATATCTAAATATATATAGTCAACTTTTTCAAAACTAATATGCATAGTAGATAAACTTTATATTATTTTTAAAGGTTATCAAATTTAAAAAATTTATATAATTAGCAGATTACTAATTGACTAATCAAATTTCAAAATAAATATATATAGTAATATCAATTTTAAAGTTAAGCTATCACTATATCTTAGTGCTAGTACTTGAATAATATGTATATACTAGATTTGTAATATAAACAAAATTCTTTAAGTTTGTTAAAATTAAATAGAGTTAATATTTATTATAATTTGATATTAGTAAGCTTATAACAAAAACTTACTTAAAAGATTTTTTTTTGTTTTTTTTATTATTAAAGCTACTTCCTTAGCTGATTAGATTTTATTAGTTTGTTATTGCAGAGCTATTACAAGAGTAAACTTCTAAGGTTTTATAGTTACATGATAAGTATATAACAAACTACATATATAACTTTAGTCATTATCTAATTTAAATAGTCTACTATATAGATAATTGACTATCTGTTAGTTTTATACTATACTGCTTTATCTGCAATTTGCCTATGAGTTATCTATTTAAATACTCTAATTATTAACTTTTCTTTCTATTTCAAACTAATATTACTACTATATCTAACTACTTAAGCTAGCTAACTTATATATAAATCTACTTACAGTATGACTTAGGTTCTCTTAGAATATATATTGCTTAATATATTATAAGTATGCAGAGCTCTAGTTAACTTTAGAAGTAATTCCTACCAAAGTGATTATGTACTTATTTCACAGATTCATCTAAATTGAACTCTTGTTGATATTTGTATAAATCTAATTCCTGCTATAACTCTCTACCAGATATAGTCTTCTGAGATTCTAACTAGATATTTCACAAGGTAAATCCTTCTAATCTAGTTAGCTACCAAACCAAGTTGATGTTACTACTAATACAAGGTATTAGACTATATTACATAGTAAATTTACTTGCATCTACTCAATCTACATCTTTCATACTCAGGTTTTTCATTAGATTAAGTATTAACTGATATAACTATTGAAATTTGTACTATTTTATCAAACTTAGGATTTCTAGTATACAAATCTTCTGTCTATAGATCTTATCTTAATTTATTTATGCAACATAACTTAAATATTATGTCATAATTCTAATATCTAATTGATATTAGTTTAATATGATTTACAAGGTTATAACTTTCAGAAACAAACAGAGTTTACTATAAGTTGAGTACAAAGATTCAGATAATTATTCAAATTTATCAACAGTAGGATTTGAACTCTAGACATCTTGCATAGTAGTCTGGCAACTTAACTACTATACTAAAATTACTAGATTATAAATTTTTTTTTGTAGTATATATATACTAATAGTTTTTTTATATATTATAAGTAATTTTTTGTAGAATGAATATTTATTTTGAATCTTTCTGATTAGATTATATTTATTTATTTTGAAATTTAATTTATAATTTAGGAGATTTGTACTATAAACTCAGTATATATAAACTTAATTCTTTTTTTTATTAAAGATTTTATACTAAAATATTGCTATATATGTATAATTATAATAAGTATATTTGAATATGTTTCTAGAAAATTTATTTGTAAGAGGTCTAGTAACCAAGTATAGTGATCGAGTTATCAGACTGCTATGTAATAGATCTGAGATTCAAATCTCACTATTAAAGAATTTGAATAATACCTAAACCTATGTACTAAACTTACAGAAAACTCTGCCTATTCTTGAAAAGGAAGTTCTAAAAGATGTGACAAATCCTGTAAAAAATAGTATTGCATCAAGTCAATTAGATATTAGAAGTGTAATAGTAATATTATATGAATAAAACTATATTAGTTATATGAGCAGAGGACCTGTATAATAGAAATTCTGAGTTGGTGAAGTAGTACAGCTTTTAATAGTTACACTAGCAAATACTTGATCTAAAAAGAAACTATTTCAAAGAATATAGATCAGGATAGATATGAGTAAGTCTGTATTTGTAGTAAAGATTAGTAGTACTAACCTGACTTAGCAGTTAACTAGATTTAGAAGGATTTATCTCATGAAATATCTAGAGAAATCAATTAACATATACTAGTGAAAAGCTACTGTAGGAACTAGAGCTATACAAACATCACAAAGATCTAAGTTAGATGAATTCGTAAAATGAGTATAGACTACTCTAGTAGGTATGCTTTCAAAGTTAACTAGAGCTCTGCATGCTTACAATATATTGAGCAATATGTATTCTGAGAGGACCTAAATTATACAGTAAATAGATCTATAAGCAAGTTAGCTAGCTTAAGTGATCAGATATAGTAGTGATGTTTATTTGAAATAAGAGGATAGATTAATGATTAGAGTATTTAAATAGGTAACCCACAGGTAGGTTACAGATATAGTAGCATAGTGTAAAACTAACAGATAGTCGATCATTTGTATAGCAGACTACTTAAATTAGACAATAACTAAAGTTATATATGTGACTTGTTATATATTTGTCATGTAACTGTTAAACCTTAGGAGATTGTTCTTGTGATAGCTCTATAATAACAAATTAATAAAATCTAATTAGCAAAAGAAGCCATTTTAATAAAAAAAAAAAATTTTATTTATAGGTACTCTTTTAATATATTTAAAATATATATCAAGTTTATAGTATAAATTTTTTAGATTTTAAAACTAAATATAATATAATATCAAAAAAACTAAAAACAAATATTTATTTTGCTAAAAGTTACTTATTACTAAAGAATTTGTATAAGAAACTATTTTTAGTATTATAAAAAAAAGTTTTTTTTGATCAATTTTACTACTATATATTACTATTAATTTTTAATTCTACTATATATAATAATAAGTACTAATTTTAATATTAAAAAACTTTAAAGAATTTTATCTGTACTAT